TAGGCAAGCCCCTCTCTCACTGCACTCCTAGGTCATGTCTAGGCACTTCCCACTCTCACTGCAACCCAGGGATATGTGTAGGTACTTCCCTTTATCATTGCACCCCAAGAATATGTGTAGGTACCTCCCGCTCTCATTGCACCCCAAGGATATGTGTAGGTACTTCCCTCTCTCACTGCACCCCAAGGATATGTGTAGCTAATTACCTCTCTCATTGCACCCCAAGGATATGTGTAGGTACTTCCCTCTCTCACTGCACCCAAAGGATATGTGTAGGTACTTCCCTCTCTCACTGCACCCCAAGGATATGTGTAGGTACTTCCCTCTCTCACTGCACCCCAAGGATATGTGTAGGTACTTCCCTCTCTCACTGCACCCCAAGGATATGTGTAGGTAATTCCCTCTCTCACTGCACCCCAAGGATATGTGTAGGTACTTCCCTCTCTCATTGCACCCCAAGGATATGTGTAGGTACTTCCCTCTCTCACTGCACCCCAAGGATATGTGTAGGTACTTCCCTCTCTCACTGCACCCCAAGGATATGTGTAGGTAATTCCTCTCTCACTGCACCCCAAGGATATGTGTAGGCACTCCCCTCTCTCACTGCACTTCAATGATATGTGTAGGTACTTCCCTCTCTCACTGCACCACAAGGATATGTGTAGGCACTTCCCTCTCTCAATGCACCCCAAGGATATGTGTATGTACTTCCCTCTCTCATTGCGCACCAAGGATATGTGTAGGCACACCCCTCTCTCACTGCACCCCTGGATATGTGTAGGTACCTCCCTCTCTCATTAGGTCCCAAGGATGTGTAAATGTACTTCTCTCTGTCACTGAACCCCAAGGATATGTGTAGGTAATTCCCTCTCTCACTGTACCCCAAGGATATGTGTATGTACTTTCCTCTCTCAATGTACCCCAAGGATATGTGTATGTACTTCCCTCTCTCACTGCACCCCACTGATATGTGAAGGGACTTCCCTCTCTCACTGCACCCCAAGGATATGTGTAGGTAATTCCCTCTCTCACTGCACCCCAAGGATATGTGTAGGCACTTCCCTCTCTCACTGCACCCAAGGATATGTGTAGGTACTTCCCTCTCTCACTGCACTTCAAGGATATGTGTAGGCCCTTCCCTCCCTCTCTCACTGCACCCCAAGGATATGTGTAGGCACTTCCCTCTCTCACTGCACCCCAAGGATATGTGTAGGTACTTCCCTCTCTCACTGCACCCCAAGGATATGTGTAGGTACTTCCCTCTCTCACTGCACCCCAAGGATATGTGTAGGTACTTCCCTCTCTCACTGCACCCCAAGGATATGTGTGTAGGTACTTCCTCTCTCACTGCACCCCAAGGATATGTGTAGGTACTTCCCTTCTCCTCTCTCACTGCACCCAAGGATATGTGTAGGTACTTCCCTCTCTCTCACTGCACCCCAAGGATATGTGTAGGTACTTCCCTCTCTCACTGCACCCCAAGGATATATGTGTAGGTACTTCCTCTCTCACTGCACCCCAAGGATATGTGTAGGTACTTCCCCTCTCACTGCACCCCAAGGATATGTGTGTAGTACTTCCCTCTCTCACTGCACCCCAAGGATATGTGTAGGCACTTCCCTCTCTCACTGCACCCCAAGGATATGTGTACTTATGTACCCTACTTCCCTCTCTCATTGCACCCCAAGGATATGTGTAGGTACTTCCCTCTCTCACTGCACCCCATGTGTAGGTATATGTGTAGGCACTTCCCTCTCTCACTGCACCCCAAAGGATATGTGTAGGTACTTCCCTCTCTCACTGCACCCCAAGGATATGTGTAGGCACTTCCCTCTCTCACTGCACCCCAAGGATATGTGTAGGCACTTCCCTCTCTCACTGCACCCAAAGGATATGTGTAGGCACTCCCCTCTCTCACTGCACCCCAAGGATATGTGTAGGTACTTCCCTCTCTCATTGCACCCCAAGGATATGTGTAGGTACTTCTCACTCTCACTGCACCCCAAGGATATGTGTAGGTACTTCCCTCTCTCACTGCACCCCAAGGATATGTGTAGGTAATTACCCTCTCTCACTGCACCCCAAGGATATGTGTAGGTACTTCCCTCTCTCACTGCACCCCAAGGATATGTGTAGGTACTTCCCTCTCTCACTGCACCCCAAGGATATGTGTAGGTACTCCCTCTCTCACTGCACCCCAAGGATATGTGTAGGTACTTCCCTCTCTCACTGCACCCCAAGGATATGTGTAGGTACTTCCCTCTCTCACTGCACCCCAAGGATATGTGTAGGTACTTCCTCTCTCACTGCACCCCAAGGATATGTGTAGGTACTACCCTCTCTCACTGCACCCCCAAGGATATGTGTAGGCACTCCCCCTCTCTCACTGCACCCCAAGGATATGTGTGTGTAGGTACTCTCTCACTCAAGGATATGTGTAGGTACTTGCACCACTGCACCCCAAGGATATGTGTAGGTACTTCCCTCTCTCACTGCACCCCAAGGATATGTGTAGGTACTTCTCCTCTCTCATATGTGTGCACCCCAAGGATATGTGTATGTACTTCCCCTCTCTCATTGCACACCAAGGATATGTGTAGGCACTTCCCTCTCTCACTGCACTCCAAGGTTATGTGTAGGCACTTCCCTCTCTCACTGCACCCCAAAGGATATGTGAGGACACTTCCCTCTCTCACTGCACCCGAAGGATATGTGTATGTACTTCCCTCTCTCACTGCACCCCAAGGATATGTGTAGGTACTTCCCTCTCTCACTGCACCCCAAGGATATGTGTAGGTACTTCCCTCTCTCACTGCACCCCAAGGATATGTGTAGGTACTTCCCTCTCTCACTGCACCCCAAGGATATGTGTAGGCACTTCCCTCTCTCACTGCACCCCAAGGATATGTGTAGGTACTTCCCCTCTCACTGCACCCCAAGGATATGTGTAGGTACTTCCCTCTCTCACTGCACCCCAAGGATATGTGTAGGTACTTCCTCTCTCACTGCACCCCAAGGATATGTGTAGGTAATTCCCTCTCTCACTGCACCCCAAGGATATGTGTAGGTACTTCCCTCTCTTCCCTAGGTACTTCCCTCTCACTGCACCCCAAGGATATGTGTAGGTACTTCCTCTCACTGCACTCACTGCCCCCTCACTGACCCCAAAGGATGTGTAGGTACTTCCCTCTCTCACTGCACCCCAAGGATATGTGTAGGTACTTCCCTCTCTCACTGCACCCCAAGGATATGTGTAGGTAATTCCCTCTCACTGCACCCCAAGGATATGTGTAGGCATTCCCTCTCTCACTGCACTTCAAGGATATGTGTAGGCCCCTCGCTCTCTCTCACTGCACCCCAAGCATATGTGTTGGTATTTCCCTCTCTCACTGCATCACAAGGATATGTGTATGTACTTCCCTCTCTCATTTCGCACCAAGGATATGTGTAGGCACGTTCCTCTCTCACTGCACCCCAAGGTTATGTGTAGGCACTTCCCTCTCTCACTGCACCCCAAAGGATATGTGAGGACACTTCCCTCTCTCACTGCACCCGAAGGATATGTGTAGACACTTCCCTCTCTCACTGGACCCCAAAGATATGTGTAGGCACTTCCCTCTCTCACTGCACCCCAAGGATATGTGTAGGTACTTCCCTCTCTCACTGCACCCCAAGGATATGTGTAGGTACTCTCTCTCTCACTGCACCCCAAGGATATGTGTATGTACTTCCCTCTCTTAATGCACCCAAAGGATATGTGTAGGTACTTCCCTCTCTCATTGCACCCAAATGATATGTGTACGTACTTCCCTCTCTCACTGCATCCGAAGGATATGTGTAGGTACTTCCCTCTCTCACTGCACTTCAAGGTCATGTGTAGGTACTCCCCCTCTCACTGCACCCCAAGGGTAAGTGTAGGCACTCCCCTCTCTCACTGCACCCAAGGGTATGTGTAGGTACTTCCCTCTCTCACTGCACCCCAAGGATATGTGTAGGTACTTCCTCTCTCACTGCACCCCAAGGATATGTGTAGGCACTCCCCTCTCTCTAGCACCCCAAGGATATGTGTAGGTACTTCCCTCTCTCACTGCACCCCAAGGATATGTGTAGGTACTTCCCTCTCTCACTGCACCCCAAGGATATGTGTAGGCACTCCCCTCTCTCACTGCACCCCAAGGATATGTGTAGGTACTTCCCTCTCTCACTGCACCCCAAGGATATGTGTTGGTACTTCCCTCTCTCACTGCACTTCAAGGTCATGTGTAGGTACTCCCCCTCTCACTGCACCCCAAGGATATGTGTAAGTACTTCCCTCTCTCACTGCACCCCAAGGATATGTGTAGGTACTTCCCTCTCTCACTGCACCCCAAGGATATGTGTTGGTACTTCCCTCTCTCACTGCACTTCAAGGTCATGTGTAGGTACACCCCCAGTGTGTGTAGGTACTAAGCCCAGTGTGTGTGTGTACTAAGCCCAGTGTGTGTGTGTACTAAGCCCAGTGTGTGTGGGTACTAAGCCCAGTGTGTGTAGGTACACCCCCAGTGTGCGTAGGTACTAAGCCCAGTGTGTGTGGGTACTAAGCCCAGTGTGTGTGGGTACTAAGCCCAGTGTGTGTAGGTACTAACCCCAGTGTGTGTGGGTACTAAGCCCAGTGTGTGTGGGTACTAAGCCCAGTGTGTGTAGGTACTAAGCCCAGTGTGTGTGGGTACTAAGCCCCAGTGTGTGTAGGTACTAAGCCCAGTGTGTGTGGGTACTAAGCCCAGTGTGTGTGGGTACTAAGCCCAGTGTGTGTGGGTACTAAGCCCAGTGTGTGTGGGTACTAAGCCCAGTGTGTGTAGGTACTAAGCCCAGTGTGTGTGGGTACTAAGCCCAGTGTGTGTGGGTACTAAGCCCAGTGTGTGTAGGTACTAAGCCCAGTGTGTGTAGGTACTAAGCCCAGTGTGTGTAGGTACTAAGCCCAGTGTGTGTGGGTACTAAGCCCAGTGTGTGTAGGTACTAACCCCATTGCGATCTTTGTCAGCAGCCAGGAACTTAGTCTCTGCTTCAAGCACATCAGACAACGTCATACTAGGAAACGCTTCTGCTACTTTCTGGAAAACATGGTAGATTGTCTTCACAGACGCCACAGTCAGTATATATATACACAATGGCAAATGTCTTCAATGTCTGTTGATTTATGACAGGCGTTTTATACATGCAGTGCAGACTCTAGTGGTTGGTTCTATCACAGACGTTCTATACATACCGTGTAGACTCTTGTGGATGGACCTATCACATACGTTCTATACATACCGTGCAGACTCTAGTGGATGGACCTATCACAGACGTTCTATACATACTGTGCAGACTCCGGTGATATGGAACTGTCACAAACGTTCTATACATACTGTGCAGACTCTAGTGGATGGACCTATCACAGACGTTCTATACATACTGTGCAGACTCTAGTGGATGGACCTATCACATACGTTCTATACATACCGTGCAGACTCCGGTGATATGGAACTGTCACAGACGTTCTATACATGCAGTGCAGACTCTAGTGGTTGGTTCTATCACAGACGTTCTATACATACTGTGCAGACTCTAGTGGATGGTTCTATCACAGACGTTTTATACATACCGTGCAGACTCAAGTGGATGGACCTATCACAGACGTTCTATACATACCGTGCAGACTCTAGTGGTTGGACCTATCACATACGTTCTATACATACCGTGCAGACTCCGGTGATATGGACCTATCACAGACGTTCTGTACATACCGTGCAGACTCTAGTGGATGGACCTATCACAGACGTTCTATACATACCGTGCAGACTCCGGTGATATGGACCTATCACAGACGTTCTATACATACCGTGCAGACTCAAGTGGATGGAGCTAACACAGACGTTCTATACATACTGTGCAGACTCTAGTGGATGTTTCTATCACAGACGTTTTATACATACCGTGCAGACTCAAGTGGATGGAGCTATCACACACGTTCTATACATACCGTGCAAACTCTAGTGGATAGTTCTATCATAGACATTTTATACATACCGCGAAGACTCTAGTGGATGGATCTGTCACAGACGTTCTAAACATACCGTGCAGACTCAAGTGGATCGACCTATCACATACGTTCTATACATGCCGTGCAGACTCTAGTGGATGGACCTATCACAGACGTTCTATACATACCGTGCAGACTCCGGTGATATGGAACTGTCACAGACGTTCTATACATGCAGTGCAGACTCTAGTGGTTGGTTCTATCACAGACGTTCTATACATACTGTGCAGACTCTAGTGGATGGACCTATCACAGACGTTCTATACATACTGTGCAGACTCTAGTGGATGGACCTATCACAGACGTTCTATACATACTGTGCAGACTGTAGTGGATGGACCTATCACAGACGTTCTATACATACCGTGCAGACTCTAGTGGATGGACCTATCACAGACTTTCTATACATACTGTGCAGACTCTAGTGGATGGTTCTATCACAGACGTTCTATACATACTGTGCAGACTCTAGTGGATGGACCTATCACAGACGTTCTATACATACCGTGCAGACTCTAGTGGATGGACCTATCACATACGTTCTATACATACCGTGCAGACTCAGGTGATATGGACCTATCACAGACATTCTGTACATACCGTGCAGACTCAAGTGATATGAAACTGTCACAGACGTTCTATACATACCGTGCAGACTCATGTGGATGGAGCTAACACAGACGTTCTATACATACTGTGCAGACTCTAGTGGATGGTTCTATCACAGACGTTTTATACATACCGTGCAGACTCTAGTGGATGGATCTGTCACAGACGTTCTATACACACCATGCACACTCTGGTGATATGGAACTGTCACAGACGTTCTAAACATACCGTGCAGGCTCAAGTAGATTGACCTATCACAGACGTTCTATACATCCCGTGCAGACTCTAGTGAATGGACCTATCAGATACGTTCTATAGATACCGTGCACACTCTGGTGATATGGACCTATCACAGACGTTCTATACATACCGTGCAGACTCTAGTGGATGGACCTATCACAGACGTTTAATACATTCCGTGCAGACTCAAGTGGATGGACCTATCACATACGTTCTATACACACCGTGCACACTCTGGTGATATAGACCTATCACAGACTTTCTATAGATACCGTGCAGACTCCGGTGAACTGGATCTGTCACAGACGTTTTATACATACTGTGCAGACTCAAGTGGATGGACCTATCACCTACGTTCTATACACACCATGCAGACTCAAGTGGATGGACCTATCACAGACATTCTATACATTCCGTGCAGACTCTGGTGATGGACCTATCACAAACGTTCTATACATACCGTGCAGACTCTAGTGGATGGACCTATCACAGGACCTTCTATACATACCGTGCAGACTCCGGTGATATGGACCTATCACAGACGTTCTATACATACCGTGCAGACTCATGGATGGACCTAACACAGACGTTCTATACATACTGTGCAGACTCTAGTGGATGGACCTATCACAGACGTTCTATACATACCGTGCAGACTCTAGTGGATGGATCTGTCACAGACGTTCTCTACACACCATGCACACTCTGGTGATATGGAACTGTCACAGACGTTCTAAACATACCGTGCAGGCTCAAGTAGATTGACCTATCACAGACGTTCTATACATCCCGTGCAGACTCTAGTGAATGGACCTATCAGATACGTTCTATAGATACCGTGCACACTCTGGTGATATGGACCTATCACAGACGTTCTATACATACCGTGCAGACTCTAGTGGATGGACCTATCACAGACGTTTAATACATTCCGTGCAGACTCAAGTGGATGGACCTATCACATACGTTCTATACACACCGTGCACACTCTGGTGATATAGACCTATCACAGACTTTCTATAGATACCGTGCAGACTCCGGTGAACTGGATCTGTCACAGACGTTTTATACATACTGTGCAGACTCAAGTGGATGGACCTATCACCTACGTTCTATACACACCATGCAGACTCAAGTGGATGGACCTATCACAGACATTTAATACATTCCGTGCAGACTCAAGTGGATGGACCTATCACAAACGTTTTATACATACCGTGCAGACTCTAGTGGATGGACCTATCACAGACGTTCTATACATACTGTGCAGACTCTAGTGGATGGACCTATCACAGACGTTCTATAGATACCGTGCACACTCTGGTGATATGGACCTATCACAGACGTTCTATACATACCGTGCAGACTCAAGTGGATGGACCTATCACAGACGTTTAATACATTCCGTGCAGACTCAAGTGGATGGACTTATCACATACGTTCTATACACACAGTGCACACTCTGGTGATATGGACCTATCACATACGTTCTATAGATACCGTGCACAGACCGGTGATATGGATCTGTCACAGACGTTTTATACATACCGTGCAGACTCTAGTGGATGGACCTATCACAGACTTTCTATACATGCCGTGCAGACTCTAGTGGATGGACCTATCACAGACGTTCTATACATACCGTGCAGACTCTAGTGGATGGACCTATCACAGACGTTTAATACATTCCGTGCAGACTCAAGTGGATGGACCTATCACATACGTTCTATACACACCGTGCACACTCTGGTGATATAGACCTATCACAGACTTTCTATAGATACCGTGCAGACTCCGGTGAACTGGATCTGTCACAGACGTTTTATACATACTGTGCAGACTCAAGTGGATGGACCTATCACCTACGTTCTATACACACCATGCAGACTCAAGTGGATGGACCTATCACAGACATTTAATACATTCCGTGCAGACTCAAGTGGATGGACCTATCACAAACGTTTTATACATACCGTGCAGACTCTAGTGGATGGACCTATCACAGACGTTCCCATACATACTGTGCAGACTCTAGTGGATGGACCTATCACAGACGTTCTATAGATACCGTGCACACTCTGGTGATATGGACCTATCACAGACGTTCTATACATACCGTGCAGACTCAAGTGGATGGACCTATCACAGACGTTTAATACATTCCGTGCAGACTCAAGTGGATGGACTTATCACATACGTTCTATACACACAGTGCACACTCTGGTGATATGGACCTATCACATACGTTCTATAGATACCGTGCACAGACCGGTGATATGGATCTGTCACAGACGTTTTATACATACCGTGCAGACTCTAGTGGATGGACCTATCACAGACTTTCTATACATGCCGTGCAGACTCTAGTGGATGGACCTATCACAGACTTTCTATACATACCGTGCAGACTCTAGTGGATGGACCTATCACAGACTTTCTATACATGTCGTGCAGACTCTAGTGGATGGACCTATCACATACGTTCTATACATACCGTGCAGACTCCGGTGATATGGAACTGTCACAGACGTTCTATACATGCAGTGCAGACTCTGGTGGTTGGTTCTATCACAGACGTTCTATACATACTGTGCAGACTCTAGTGGATGGACCTATCACAGACGTTCTATACATACTGTGCAGACTCTAGTGGATGGACCTATCACAGACGTTCTATACATACTGTGCAGACTCTAGTGGATGGACCTATCACAGACTTTCTATACATACCGTGCAGACTCTAGTGGATGGACCTATCACAGACTTTCTATACATGTCGTGCAGACTCTAGTGGATGGACCTATCACAGACGTTCTATACATGCAGTGCAGACTCTGGTGGCTGGTTCTATCACAGACGTTCTATACATACTGTGCAGACTCTAGTGGATGGACCTATCACAGACGTTCTATACATACTGTGCACACTCTGGTGACATGGACCTATCACATACGTTCTATACATACCGTGCAGACTCTAGTGGATGGACCTATCACATACGTTCTATACATACCGTGCAGACTCCGGTGATATGGAACTGTCACAGACGTTCTATACATGCAGTGCAGACTCTAGTGGTTGGTTCTATCACAGACGTTCTATACATACTGTGCAGACTCTAGTGGATGGACCTATCACAGACGTTCTATACATACTGTGCACACTCTGGTGACATGGACCTATCACAGACGTTCTATACATACCGTGCAGACTCTAGTGGATGGACCTATCACATACGTTCTATACATACCGTGCAGACTCCGGTGATATGGAACTGTCACAGACGTTCTATACATGCAGTGCAGACTCTAGTGGATGGACCTATCACAGACGTTCTATACATACTGTGCAGACTCTAGTTGATGGACCTATCACAGACGTTCTATACATACCGTGCAGACTCTAGTGGATGGACCTATCACAGACGTTCTATACATACTTTGCAGACTCTAGTGGATGGACCTATCACAGACGTTCTATACATACCGTGCAGACTCCGGTGATATGGAACTGTCACAGATGTGTTATACATACCGTGTAGAATTCCTTTGAATCCTCGTCATCTTCTAACCCGGGTATCACAGGGTGTTTGCGGGCAGGGGTAGACAGACTTAGAAGGAGTTGGGCGGAGGGACTGATCGAAGGAGTGGGATGTAATCCCAGACTGTCTTTATCCTCCTTCTTCTTTTTCTTCTTGCTGCCCGAGGAAGACTTACTCTTCTCCTTCGCCTACATGATAACGCAGCACGTGTAATACGTGTTTGTGGCAAACTAGCATACTCAATACATGACCTAAACATATATACATAAACTGGAATATTATGTGCCTCCCTACATCACGTGGGGCATAAAGGTAGTCATTATGTACAAACTGCATTTGACAGGCCTCTGCGTCACCTGCCTTTAAGGTCTGCCATATAATCTGTATTGTAAACCAAAAGTCACTGTGTTCTTTAATCTGATTGGTTGAAAAACATGATCGAGTGGTATTCGATTCCCTGAAATGGCAAGTCTTTTCGCTGTGTATTAATACGTACAAATAGTCCGTACTTTTTTTCAAAGAGTGCAGACAGAAACGCGTGTGGACCTTCTTGTTTACTTTTATGTTTCCAGTGGCGATAAACATCTTGTGTTGGACAATTCCCGCGTGTTATTGAGTATTTGAAGCATGGGAATAACGCCGTCGGTTCCAAATATATTCCCATGCTTCAAATACTCACTAACACCTGGAAATTGGCCAACACATGATTTTATCTCCTTATTTGGCACTGAATGGAATAATATGCCAATCCATTCCGTTGTTTGTTACACCTGTGACCCGGAGTGTTTGTGTCGCCATGTTATAACAACCCTATGCAATAGAAGGCTAAAACAATCACATTGAACACGTTTCAAAGCTGACTGTATCAAAATGTGGTTTATTTTAGGTTAACTATATGTGGCTTTTAGCTAAGAAATAAAATTCAACATCTTTCACTGAACATCATGGGTTCGGATCTCAAACTGACCCGGTGCCTGGCCAGTACAGATTATGTCCGAGTTTGGGCTTGCGTCCTACATTGAACTGACATGGCGAGATATAGACGAAGTACTCTCTCAAAAACATTTGACTCAACCCATGCCACTTCATTGACGCCTGCAGTAGATCTTAACATTAAACACTACACGTCAGTGTGCCTACATATACAAGCATTCTCTATGTGCACACCGACAGTAATCACACCTACAGGATCGGATCCTTCATTCCACGCCACCTTAACCTGTTTCACTCATGTCTCTGTCACACCTTTGTCGCACCTGTGTCCATATCTTACACGGAGGGCACTCACACATAGACGACATAGCCCATGTACTCGGTCGGTCATTAGGTGAGATAAAGGTATAGCCATTCCTTTTATTGAGTACACTATGTGGATCTAAAAGGGCTCATATTTCAAATACGTTCGACAAGCTGACAAGAGTTACCTCCCATAAATGGCTACGCTCTACTCCTTGGTATTTCGCTAGTACTGATTGTTAACCGACGGGGAGACTGTGATGTAGCAGACAGTAGGAATTAGTGTCTGGGGAATACTATTTGTTTCCATGTATCGTCGTCAGAACGATCAAGCACCTATCAATTCGGACCTTTCCGCCTGATGCGACATTTTATTCGAGTACTCAGTCCTAACAACGGAGGAGAAGAGATAATATATATATTATCATCTATAAATGCTTGACGTAATGATATTGAGGTGACATGCCCCGGGACATTTATGGTGTTACAGTATGACCTCTGTAAACCCGTGTATGTTTGACTCTTGTGTTAAGCATTTCACATTACAAGACGACCAGCCGATCTGTAAAGATGACTTTTGACACTTAATTCTCCTATTTTGGAAGCTGTTGCAGAATAATCACAAGTTTTATATTTATTACCATTGTGGCTATACTGCCACTCTATTTTTACTGCCATAGTAATTCCTTTGTAGTGATTTGTAAACTTAGTTGATTTTAGTATACAATGGTTAATAATAAAACATTTCTGTATTGTCTGTTGGTTTCACACCCAATTCCTTGTCGAACTGATTCACGGTTATTGTTTCAACATGGGAATCAACACGTAACAAAGACAGCACGGGAATATTTCATTTGAAACCTCCGGCTGACGCCCTCGGTTCCAAATGAATGTCAGTGCATCTAATACTCAATAACACCCGGAAATTGGCCAACACATTATGCCTATCTCCTAAACAGAAACTGGACTCTACAAACACAACACTGTTCCACATTCAACACGTAACAGAAACTGGACTCTACAAACACAACATTGCTCCACATTCAACACGTAACAGAAACTGGACGCCCAATAAAGACGTGCTACTCTGTGCTCTTCGATTTTAGCGATTCGACCAACGACGGTGTGGAAGCCACTCTGTTTTTAACTTGCCACTTGACATAAACGGAAGAAGCCTTGGAATTCTAAAAGGGCTGTATCCTCCCTAGGAGTTGTCATGCATGGTCGACCTGAATGCAGACCGTCTTCAACATAATTAGTTTGCTGGTGTTTTCTGGCAGTCAGCCGATAGTCGATGGCCTGACAACCATCATGGCTTGCAGTAACCCTCCGCAGACTAATAACTTGCCATCTTAGAGCAGTTGGCAGCTGAGGTGGCCCCATATTTGCTTATAAACAACGAAATCAAATATTTTTCCAAGTTATCGAGCTGTAAGAACAGTATACTGAAACCATATATTTGTAAAGCCCGTCGTTGATCGTTGCATATCTAAAACCAATGTATGGTACGGCCGAAGGGTCAAAATAATCCTACGAACAAACCTAATTATGATGGGACTGAATGGCTATATGAGGGTTAAAAAGCATAGATGTTGCGATACTGTTGCGATAGCTGGTAATGATACGAGTCAACACAATCAGTGATAACCCTGCTGAAAGGCTCTTCAAAAGTTGGACTGGGATTCAAAGCAGCGGCTGGGATCTTCTCATTAGATTTGCCAATCATGTGAAATATATGACAGGTTTTGCAAAATTCAACCACGTCATACTGCAAATTGGGTCAATTGAAACGGGACAGAATTTTGTCATAAGATATGTTCACACTCAAATGGCCTGCCAATAGGGTTTCATGAGCCAAACTCAAACCATGTTTTCGATATCAATTGGGAAGTACAATCTTATGTAAAACGCTTCATTCTTTATGTGTACGTCAATTACCATTAACTCATCAAACTACCCGTGAAGGTCCGGGGTAGAACTGGTCTTCAGTAACCCATGCTTGTCTACCCGTGAAGGTCCGGGGTAGAACTGGTCTTCAGTAACCCATGCTTGTCTACCCGTGAAGGTCCGGGGTAGAACTGGTCTTCAGTAACCCATGCTTGTCTACCCGTGAAGGTCCGGGGTAGAACTGGTCTTCAGTAACCCATGCTTGTCTACCCGTGAAGGTCCGGGGTAGAACTGGTCTTCAGTAACCCATGCTTGTCTACCCGTGAAGGTCCGGGTTAGAACTGGTCTTCAGCAACCCATGCTTGTCTACCCGTGAAGGTCCGGGGTAGAACTGGACCCGATTTCTCGAAACAAACTTAAGTTTTTACTCAAATTTCAAACTGAGTTTGACAATTTGAAACAGCTGAATTTTAAACTCAACTGCATTTTTTAAATAAAAGAGCTCAAACATCTTAAGTAATCTATCCCTTCAAACTCAAATTGTCTGCTATGTTTGAGTTTAATATCGATTTAAGTTCATTCTGGGAAATGCATTTTCTCAAATTTGAGTAAAAACTCTAACTTAAGTCAAAACTCAGACTTAAGTTTGTTTCGAGAAATCGGGGCCTGGTCTTCAGTAACCCATGCTTGTCTACCCGTGAAGGTCCGGGGTAGAACTGGTCTTCAGTAACCCATGCTTGTCTACCCGTGAAGGTCCGGGGTAGAACTGGTCTTCAGTAACCCATGCTTGTCTACCCGTGAAGGTCCGGGGTAGAACTGGTCTTCAACAACCCATGCTTGTCTACCCGTGAAGGTCCGGGGTAGAACTGGTCTTCAGTAACCCATGCTTGTCTACCCGTGAAGGTCCGGGGTAGAACTGGTCTTCAGTAACCCATGCTTGTCTACCCGTGAAGGTCCGGGTTAGAACTGGTCTTCAGCAACCCATGCTTGTCTACCCGTGAAGGTCCGGGGTAGAACTGGTCTTCAGTAACCCATGCTTGTCTACCCGTGAAGGTCCGGGGTAGAACTGGTCTTCAGTAACCCATGCTTGTCTACCCGTGAAGGTCCGGGGTAGAACTGGTCTTCAGCAACCCATGCTTGTCTACCCGTGAAGGTCCGGGGTAGAACTGGTCTTCAGTAACCCATGCTTGTCTACCCGTGAAGGTCCGGGGTAGAACTGGTCTTCAGCAACCCATGCTTGTCTACCCGTGAAGGTCCAGGTTACAATTGGTCTTCAGTAACCCATGCTTGTCTGCCCGTGAAGGTCCGGGTTAGAATTGGTCTTCAGCAACCCATGCTTGTCTGCCCGTGAAGGTCCGGGTTAGAACTGGTCTTCAGCAACCCATGCTTGTCTACCCGTGAAGGTCCGGGGTAGAACTGGACCCGATTTCTCGAAACAAACTTAAGTTTTTACTCAAATTTCAAACTGAGTTTGACAATTTGAAACAGCTGAATTTTAAACTCAACTGCATTTTTTTAAATAAAGAGCTCAAACATCTTAAGTAATCTATCCCTTCAAACTCAAATTGTCTGCTATGTTTTGAGTTTAATATCGATTTAAGTTCATTCTCTTCAGAAATGCATTTTCTCAAATTTGAGTAAAAACTCTAACTTAAGTCAAAACTCAGACTTAAGTTTGTGTTTAATTCGGGCTTGTCCTGGTCTTCAGTAACCCATGCTTGTCTACCCGTGAAGGTCGTGAACTGGTCTTCAGTAACCCATGCTTGTCTACCCGTGAAGGTCGGGGTAGAACTGGTCTTCAGTAACCCATGCTTGTCTACCCGTGAAGGTCCGGGTAGAACTGGTCTTCAGTAACCCATGCTTGTCTACCCATGCTTGTCTAGAACCTTCAGTAACCCATGCTTGTCTACCGGAAGGTCGGGGTAGAACTGGTCTTCAGTAACCCATGCTTGTCTACCCGTGAAGGTCTTCAGCAACCCATGGGGTAGAACTGGTCTTCAGTAACCCATGCTTGTCTACCCGTGAAGGTCCGGGTAGAACTGGTCTTCAGTAACCCATGCTTGTC